TTCTTGTCTTCACCTGGCTCTCCTGTTCGCTCCACACCCTTATGCTGCCTCCATGCTCTCACCCTCCTGCCAACCTCCGGACTCTTCCTTGGCCTCTGTCTCCCCCCCACTTTCTTCCCTCAAGTTGGCCACCCTCTCTGGGCCCCCCTCAGCCTCCCCGCCTTCTCCTGCCTCTCCAGCCTCCGCCTTGTTCTCTGGGCTCCCCTCAGCCTCCTCCCTGATGTCCCCTCTGCTGCCATGCTCCGTCTCCTTGTCCTCCTCAACTTCCCAGCATGCCTGCACCCGCTCAGCCTGTCCCAGAGCCTCCAGACTGCCCGGACCCTCCCAGGCCAGGGGTTTGGGCCCCAGAAGAGGACTGAGGTCGTCGTAGGCACTCAGGAAGACTTCTTCCCCGGTGTCCTCCTCTGCCTCAGGCCCAGGCCCCGTGGAGTCCGGGGAACAGCAGCTGGGAGCCAGGACAAACTGCGCCTCATCCAGAGACAGGTCATCCAGGGGGGGCTCCACGGAGAACTCCTCTACCTGTGGGCACAGCAGTGGCTCAGGACCCGGGGTCCTGCCTGCCCTCTGGACCCCTCACGACCCCAACCCAGCAGGCTCCTCCTTACCTGAGGCCCCGCTCTCAGCAGCTCCTCCAGGTAGCCCATCCCAGGGTCGTCCTCCCCAGGGGAGAAAGCTGCTCCTGCTCCTGCTGCTCCTGCCTTGGCCGCCTCCCCTTCCTCCGCCCCCACCCACTCAGGCTCTGAGCTGCTGGAGTCCTCCAGGAAGGAGAAGGAGTCTTGCACCTCCTGGGACAGGCAGTCCTCCAGGGCAGGGGCCAAGGCTGCTGGGCCGGAGTCAGCCAGGGGGCCTGAGGCTGGACTTGCCTCGGACTTCTCATCTGTTAGAAGAGAGGTAGCCCCAAGAACACAAAGGTCACGGCCAGCCCTGACCCTCTCCAAGGCGGCCTTTCCAGCATTGCTACGGAGGCCCACACTCCCAGCCCAGACCCCCACGTGGCTATCCTTTCAGACCAATATTCCAAACTATTGGCTTACAGCCGCCTGCGCTGAGTTCCTACCAGGTGCCCGGCACCATGCGATTCACCTTCTTTCCCCACAAAGCACCTACATCACAGGGCCTGGTCGCCCTGTTACACATGAGGAGCCTGAGACTCAGGGATGAACAGTCGGCCCAGGCCACACAGGTGGCAGACATTTGGTCCCACACGGACTCCACAGCCACGGCTGTAGCCCCTGCCCGATGCTGCGCCCTTCTTGTGGGTGACACTGCGGAACGAGTTCCAAGCAAAGCTCAGCCAGCTCTGCCGCTCAACCTGAGGCAGTGCCGGGCTCCGCTGAGCTGCCGCCACGGTGCCCTGCGAGGCCAGCAAGGCCTGGTCACAGCATGTGAGAAGGTGGACTACGCGGGCGCCACGGTGTCCTTCACACAACACTTGGCACGCAATGACCCCCAGGAGGTGTCAGCTGTCAGTTAGTGCTGATGCTGTGGCTCAGTGCTACCTGTCCTTCGTCCCCCCTGCCTGTGTCTGACCCAGACCCCACCCTCGGGTGTAGGAGGGATCCTCTTACCAGAGATTTCAAGTGAATGACTGGATTCCCCCCACCTTGAACCGGGGCAAGTGAAGGTGACCACCCAAGGCCTGAGGCCTCTGCCCACCCCCTCCCACCCCCCGCCCCCACCCCGGCATCAGAGCTTCAGCTGGAGGGTCTAGCCCCCACTCCCTGTCCCAGGTCCTCACCTGGGGGGCCGGGGCCTGGGCAGGGGCCAGAAGCGGGACTTGGCCGGGGCTGTAGGGCAGGGCACTCCAGGCCACGGGTGAGCCTGGCCAAGGAGACGTTAGAGATGATGTTTGGAGGCACGTTGAGGATAGAGGTGATGTGTAGTGGGAGGTTGACGTTGTACGGGTCTGAGATGTGGACGCCAGCACAGCGCTCGGCCCGGCTGCCGCCCCCAGCACGGGCCGCTGACCGCCCGGCGCGCGGCGTTCCTGGCTCGGAATTGGTGCTGCCCAGGGCCCCTGCCTCGGGCTCCGGTTCACCCTCTGCTGCCTCCGCAGAATCATCCTCCAAGCTCTCAGGCACCAGGGGGCTTGGCCGGGGGCTGCTGGGCACCAGGAGCGCCTCTGGCTCTGCAAGAGAGAGGGCAGCAGCCTCAGCGGCCGGATGGCACCAGGACGCTCCGGCCCAGCACAGCGCCTCCCTGAGTCCTGGAGCCTCGGAGGACAGCCTGCAGGCACCGTGCCCCGCATCCCCTGGCCACGACCGCCAACCTCCCACGGCCAGCAGGTCACAGGTCACCCCACACACCACGGCGTCTGCATGTGCTCGTGTGAACACACCATGGAACAAGAGAAAACACTATAAACCTGGCGGCCAGCATTGTGGCTGGCATATAATATTACACATTTTTGTGATGTAGAAATAGTACCTATTTTTGAAATGAGTGAGCAGCACACACAAATGCACACACAATGGTCTTAGTCATAACACTGTTACTCCCTTACAGATACCCTCCCAGATGTGGTTCCCCATACGGACGCCAGCAGGCCCATGGCAACACCACAGCCCACACCCCCACGGGGCGCACGGCACTCACCATCACTGGCCCCGGCCACAGCGCTCAGGGAGTCCATGCTCTTGGCTGGCCGCAGGGTCCCCTTGTCAGATTTGTCCTCTGCAAGACAGGGGGGTGTCAGGCCTGGGCCGGGCACTCCCACACCAGAGCGCCCCCCCACCTCACCCCAAACTTACCCCTGTCCTCAGCCCCCCGGGGAATTTCCGCTTAGGTTCATGGCCAGAGCGACCCAGAATGGAAGATAGATCTCCACTTTCTGGACCTTCAAAGACCCTTTTCCTCCTGGAGGGAACAGAGAAGGTCACTGGGGTGTGCCTGCAGGTCAGCGTGGGAGGAGGGCAGGAGGGAGCCTTACTTGTGCTCTGTGATCTCAATGATGGTGTGATAGGGCCGGAGCTGGGGGGGGCCGTCGCCAGCCTGCAGGACGCTAGGCAGGTGGTAGGGCAGCGACCTGGGCATCAGGTCCTCGGGGCTGCTCGATGCCCGGAGCCCTGGAAGGGACCGCCATCCACTCTCCAGCTCCCCACCTGGGAAAGGAGGGGAGCCGTCACCAAGAACAGAAGTGAGGGCTCCGGGCACCCAGTGCCATCACACCTGCCCGCTCACCAGCTAGGGGTGGACCTGGAGGCCCCTGGTCTAGCTCCTCAAGGGGGGGTGAGTCCCAGGGACAAAGGGGCCAGAGATCCTGGGACACTGGCCTGTGGGGGCGGGGGATCAACGAGCAGCCACTAGTCTTGAGAGCCAGGCGGTGAGCCAGAGACCGCAGTGCTGGCATGGAGAGCAGGAGCGGCCTGCGCTCGCCCTGGCTGTGCCTGCCATCTCCCGGCCTTCGCCATGAGGCCATCAGCAACATCTCCCTGAGACTCAGTTTTCTCATCTGCAAAATGGGAGACTGACCCGGACGACCTCGGAGGCCCCTGCAGCTCCGCCGGGACTCCCCAGGCAGTGGTGACAGGCTGGGCCGGAGGACACTCACCGGAGAGGGCGGTGCCCCCAAAGAGCCGGTCCACGTGCGTGAGGATGAACTCCACCACGATGGACTGCACGCGCACTTCCATGAAGGCTGCCGTCCCGTTGAAGCCCGAGGCCTCGATGTCCTTGGACCTGCACGGAGGGGAGTGACTCTCACCCCGATGGGGCGGGGATTCCTTCCCTGGATTCTCCCTGAAGGTCCCTCACACCTATGCCCTGCGCCCTCAGCCCCTCTCCACCTCCTCACCACACACAGGGTTCCAGGCTCAAAGCCACTTCCTCCAGGAAGCCCGCGGCACCCTCCGAGCGCATCTCTGCTTCCCGTGCCCACCAGGGGCCTGTGTGCCATCTGTTATAAGCTCTATCGCGACTTGCCCCCAGGACGCGCGACCTCCTCCCCGCAGGTGCGCTGCCAGGCCCGTGCTCCAGGCCCAGGGGATGCAAGACATTGGCCCGAAACCCACTGGACTGGGACCTGGGCGTGAGCTCAGAGAGGTGTCGAGGGCTGAGCCGCATCCCACTCAGTGCAACACTGAATCTTTCTGTGCTTCATGGTCTCAGGAGACCCCCATCCCCTCTCCGGTCACCCGCACAGTCCCCGCCTGTGCTGTCCGCAGGGCTTGGCGCTGATCACACGAGCACGCACCTCAGCAGGTTGGGAGCCCACACGATGGCCAGGTTGCGGGCGTGCATGTTGGTCTGGGCACTGAATGAGGCCATGTGCACCAAGTGGCGCATGAGGAACTCCAGGGTCCTGCAGAGGGGGGCCAGGGGCCAGGGGTCAGAGGTCAGGGGCAGGCGTGGGACTGGCCCAGGAGCTGGGAGAGACAGGTCTAGGCCCCGCAGAAGGACTGGGCTGTGCCGGAGCAGGGCTGGGCGTGGGGAGGAGCCCACGCACCTGTAGTTTGGGGCGGGGAGTTCTCGAAGCACCTCTAGGATCTTGACCAAGCGCTCAGGTTCCAGCTGCACCGCCACAGCCTCCTGATTGGGAGAAGGTTCCAGAAGCGGGTCAGTGGCCCAGCCTGCCCTGCTTCCTCCCCAGAGCTCCGAGGCAAACTGAGCAACAGCTGCGCTGCCCACGCCGGCCCTGGCCCAGATGCACAGGGCAGCAGGGAGAGCTCAGAGTCCGGGACCCACAGACCTGCAGGGAATCTTGGCTGTGCCCCTCAATAGCCTGTGACCTTGAACAGCCCACTGCCATCTGCCTGGCGTCCTCTATGGGTCCTGGTCTGGGAAGACCTCCTCCCCCCGCCCCCCATGGGTGCCCGGGGCCTGGAGCGGTTCCAGGTGTCTGGGAAGCCTCTCCGCTCGGTTTAGCAGGGGGGGCGGGGGGGTGGGGCGCGGAGGCACACCTCTGCTGCTCAGGGTCTCCAGGTTCTGCTGCTCAATAAATAAAACCAGGACAGCCACCCTCAGCCCTCTCTGGCACCCCAGCCTCTAACTCACAGCAAACTTGTCATAGAGGCGGTAGGTGAGGAGGGGGTCGGGCAGCTCTCTGAAGTAGGCCTTGCACAGTGAGGACACGCAGTGGATGTCTTGGAGGTAAACATCTCGCCGCAGGTCTGGCTTCCGCTCCACCTCAAACTCCTGCCTGGGGAGGTGCAGAGTGGTCAGGGGTGCGGCCGAGAAATGGGGGAGCTACAGGGATGGCTCCAGACAGGGGTGAGGGGCAACGTGTGTGGGACTTGGAAGGAGGACCTGGGGCGTGTAGGTGGCCGCACGGGGCAGATGTGAGCAGAATAGGTGGCTCAGCGCGCGGACAGGGTCCACAGTGGCGAGGCGGCTGCAGGCGTAGCAATGGGCGGGGGGCGGGGGGGGGGGGGGTGGGTAGGGACCAATAGAAGTGGGAGGCGGGCCTGGCCGTATCTGGGTACAGAGGTGGAAAATGGGTGAGTATAACCTCACATGAAAAGGTAAGTGCACATCTTCATAATCTTGGATATGGCACTGAAAGCACAGGCAACCCAAGAAAAAATAAATTGAACATCAAAATTACTAACTTTTGAGCCCTGGTTGGTGTTGCTCAGTGGTTAGAGAATAGGCCTGGCACCAGATGGTCACAGGTTTTGTTGTTGTTGTTGTCGTTGTTTTAGTGTATTTTTATTGATTTCAAAGAGGAAGGGAGAGGGAGAGAGATAGAAACATCAATGATGAAAGAGAGTCATTGATCAGCTGCCTCCTGCACATCCCACACTGGGAATCAAACCATGACCTCCTGGTTCATAGCTCAACGCTCAACCATTGAGCCATGACGACTGGGCTGAAGGGTCACAGGTTTGATTCCCAGTCAAGGGCATGTACCTGGGTTGCAGGTTCAATCCCTGCCCCCCCACTCCCACCCCCACCCCCCACCCCCGTCAGGCTACGTGTGGGAGGCAACCAATCCGCGTCTCTCTCACGTTGATGTTTCTCTCTCTCCTCTCTGCCCCATCCCCCCCCTCCCACTCTCTAAAAATCAATGGGAAAAATATCCTCATTCCTTGGACGAGGATTAAAAACAAGATCACAAACTAGTGTGTCAGAGGGCACTGCCGAGAAGGGGACGGGCCCACAGGATGGGCTTGCAGGTCAGACTGAGTGAGTGTCTGATACCCAGAATATAAAGAACTCTTACAATTCAAAGACACAAACAAAAGACTTGAACAGACATTTCTTAGAGAAGACACGCAAGCAGCCAATAAGCACACACGGTGCGCGAGGTCGCCGGCTGCTGGAGATGCAGGTCAGGTGAGACGCACGTCACCGCCGCTAGGACGGCTGTGACCAAGGACGGTGCCGGGAGGGCAGTGGGTGGAGCGATGGGGACCCTCCTGGGAATGTAAAATGATGCAACTGCTGTGGAAACAGTTTGGCGGCTCCTTTAAAAGTTCAACATAGAGCCGAAACCGGTTTGGCTCAGTGGATAGAGCGTCGGCCTGCGGACCGAAAGGTCTCAGGTTCGATTCCGGTCAAGGGCATGTACCTGGGTTGCGGGCACATCCCCAGTGGGAGATGTGCAGGAGGCAGCTGATGGATGTTTCTCTCTCATCGATGTTTCTAACTCTCTATCTCTCTCCCTTCCTCTCTGTAAAAAATCAATAAAATATAAAAAAAAAAAAAGTTCAACATAGAGTTACCACATGACCCGCAATCCCACACCTGTATACATGCTCTAGAGAACTGCAAGCATATGTCAACGTCCATATGTCCATGAATGTTTATGCACGTTATTCATAACAGCCAGCAGGTGGAAACAACCCAAACAACCACTAACTGATGAGTGAATAAACCAAATGGAGTCAAGCCACACCATGGAATATCATTCAGCCATAAAAAGGGAATGAAGTACTAGTACATGCAACAACACGCATGGACTTTGAAAACAGGCCAAGTGGAAAAAAACACACACAAACGTTTACAATTATATGATCCATTTATGTGAAATGGGCTGAATAGGAAAATCCATTCAGACCAAAGTAGACTAGTGGCTGCCAGGGGCTGGGAGGGAAGGTGGGTGATGCTTATGGCGTGGCTGCTGGAAGTGAGAAGATGCTCTGAAATGAGTGGTGACAGCTGCACAGCCTGTGAACATATAACAACCACTGAAATGTGCATCTTTATTTTATTTTTTTAAATATGTATTTTTATTGATTTCAAAGAGGAAGGGAGAGGCAGAGAGAGATAGAAACATTAGTGATGAGAGAGAATCGTTGATTGGCTGCCTCCTCCACACCCCTCACTGGGGATGGAGCCCGAAAGCCAGGCATGTACTCTTGGCCAGAATCGAACCCGGGACCCTTCAGTCCATAGGCCTATGCTCTATCCACTGAGCCAAACCGGCTAGGGCTGAAATGTGCATCTTTAAGTGGTGAATTTTATGGTAGGAGAATTATACCTATGTTTTAAAATATTTTTTTTATTGATTTCAGAGAGGAAGGGAGAGAGAGAGAGAAAGGGAGAGAGAGAAACATCAATGATGAGAGAGAATCATTGATTGGCTGCCTCCTGCACGACCCCTACTGGGAATCAAGCCAGCAACCCTGCAACCCAGGCATGTGCCCTGACCAGGAATCATACCGTGACCTCCTGCTTCATAGGTCGACGCTCAACCCCTGAGCCACATCAGCCAGGCAACACTGATCTTTTTTTAAAAATGTAGATATAGCCAAGCCAACATATGAACCAGGAAGTCACAGTTCGATTCCCAGTCAGGACACATGCCCAGGGTGTGAGCTCCATCCCCAGTGGGGGGCATGCAGGAGGCAGCAGATCAATGATTCTCTCTTCATTGATGTTTCTCTCTCTCTTTCCCTCTCCCTTCCTCTCTGAAATCAATAAAAATATATTTCAAAAAATAAAAAGTTCGGTGTGTATGTGTGAGAGAGTGTGCATGTGTGTCCTGTGTGCACATGTGTGTATACACGTGCATGGTATGTGTATGTGTCCGTGCATGCACGTGTGTGAGTGCGCACGAGTGAGTGTGTTCGTGCATGTGCGTATGTCTGTGCGCACACACATGTGTGTGCCTGTGCCTGTGTGTGTGTGTGTGTGTGTGTGTGTGTACACGCTAGCCTGGGAGAGGGAGTGCGTGGTCGGCCTCTCCTCCGCAGGCTCTCCTGGAGCCCCTCCCTCCACAGAGCCTGGCGTCTGTGTCCTCCCCACACGGCCTGACTCACCGGAGCTTCTGGATGTTGGAGGAGACCCCTGAGAGGCGGTAGATGCCGTCCACCACTCCGTACTCCTCCACGAACTCCGCGCATGATCTGATCCTAGCACCTGGGTGACGCAGGGCAGACACAGAGTTAGTTAGCACGTGACTGGATGTTGGATTCTCTGCCCAGGTAACAGTGTCAGCAGATCAGTGCATTGTTCTCACCGGACATCAGCTCCAGCCTGCCAGCCCTCCACCACCTGCCTACCCCTGGGGCGAGAGCCTCGGCATGAGGGGGCACCCCCGCCCCCCCCCCCCCCCCCGGGAAGCTCTGCCTCATGGAACTGCAGATTCTCCCTCTGTACTCACTGCTGGCCACTCTAGAACTCTTAAAGGGCCAGCAATCTGTTTGAAAGTGTTACATAAATGCACTCCCAAGGCCAGTCTTTCCTCTGCGTCCCAACCACATGGGGACATGGGGACAGGGCTGACGGGGCCTCCGTGACTCACTCCCTCGGATATCACTTCTGTCGCAGGAAGGTCCACAAACAGTGACAGGCCTTCAGACATGTCAGTTCAGGAGAGAAGCTCCTATGTGCCATGCACTGCGGAGCTAGTCCCCATTTAACAGATAGGAAAACTGAGGATCCAAGGACTAACGAGTACCCAGGATCACCCAGTTAGAGCCAGGATTGAATTCCATCAGCTCAGAGAGCTGCGCCATGTCTCCCAAGCCCGGCCCTCCTGTTACTGGGCGGAAAGCTTCTTCAGGACAAGACCTCATGTGACCCACCGTGATGTTCCTCATGTTATGTGACCTGGTGTCTCCTACATGGGAAACCCTCAAAGCCCCAGCATCCCCTGCTTCAAATCCTGTGTTACACACACACCCTCCTGCACCCCAGTCTTCACTGCTCGCCTTACAGATACGGAATAAAATGCAAACTCTTCAGCGTGGGAGATAAGACCCTTCACAACTCGAGTCCAGGCTGCCATTTCCGCCTCAGCACCAGCCAGTTTCCCGTCAGGTCCCAGGATCAGCCCTTTGCTGCTCTCTGAACGAGGCTCGGGACCATGTCCTTCCTTGTTATTCCATGTTATTCCCTCCCCTGGAAATGCCCTCCCCTCTGACTCTGCCTGTGAACGCCTACGCGCTCTTCAAAACACACCTCACACACGGCCTCCAGTGCGAGCCCGGCTTAGCCCTGTGCCCGCTCCCAGCGCCCTGTGTGCCTGTGCATGCTACTCACTGCACCTCGTGATGGTTACTTTCTCTCGAGTTTATACCTTTGGACAAGTAGTCACATCCCCCCAGCATCTAGCACAGTGTTGAGACATAGCATATGTTCAGTAAATGCTTATTGATGACTCAATTAATTACCAATTATGAGAATTAGTGACATCTCTTGGAGACCAAAGATACAACACTGAGTCCTATTACCTGGCCCCCAGCGCTCTGCACTTCTCCCACACGCCTGCTTGCCTGCTTCTCTCTTCTCTGGGCTGTGGGAGACGGCCTGACGGGTCCCCCACGCTCACCCCAGGAAGCGCAGGGCCGCCCAGGGGCCACTAGGAGCTGAGAAGCAGTCTGGGCCTATCTTACCTTTCCTCTTCTTGTCCCTTCAACACACTCCCTTCAGTCACCTACTCTTTCTCTAAAGGTTTGTGTTTTGGAAGTCATCCAATCCAAGTTCTTCGTGGAATTCAGTAAGACAGAAGCACAGAATGAAGGAACTCATGAATCCACCCATCACCATCCTAAAGCCTCCTGACACGCCTGCGTCCACACCTCTGCATCCACACCCCTGCGTCCACACCCCTGCCGCCTGCACCTCAGACCCCGGCCTGGAGGGTCAGAGGGCCCAGGTGCGACCTGTACGGGATGTCCTTCCGCGGGAAGGCTCAGCGTCAGCTCCTCAGCTCCACGCCGCTTGGCCTGAGAGCGGAGCTTCTTTAAATGCCTCACCCAGTCCCCGCCCTTCCCTGGGCTTCGTCCTGGCCCGGCTCCCAACCACCCTCAGCACCTGTGCCCGCCCAGGGCCCCGACGCCGGCCTCACTGAATGCAGTGACGTGGGTTCTCCGTGTCAGACCTGCTGCTCTCGGGGGCCTGATGCTGCACCAGCATTGTTGGCGGCCACACGGCTCAGACGGAGCCTGCTGCCCCGAACCCCAGGGCCTTGTCACAGGAACTACAGCCAAGCAGACCCCCCCCCCGCCCCCCTGCTGATTGTGAGTCTCCAGAGTAGGCCCTTAAAGAAGGCGTGTGGGAGCCAAGGGAGTCAGAGCCACCAGGAAATGGGTCGAGGAGGTGAGGGAGGAGAGGACAGGGTCCGAGAGATGGAGTGTTGAGGAGCCAGAGATCGAAGCGATGGGGTCAGAGGCACAAGTCACAGAGCAGGGAGGGCGGCAGAGTTCAAGGGGCAGGACAGGTCGTGGAGGAGGCCCTGGAGCGTCAGAAACCCGAGGGAGGTGTCAGAGATGACGATCAGGCCTGGCTGGCGGGGCTCAATGGTTGACTGTCCACCCATGAACCAGGAGGTCACAGTTTGATTCCCAGTCAG